ACTCTTCGCAAATAGTTAAGGATGTGGGTTGTTCTAGTTTTAGGGAAATGCGAAGTTTAGCTCAGGATAGGAAAGAGTGGAGGTACGTGTCCAACCAGTCTTAGGACTGATGACCTTATGATGATGATTTTAAATACTAAATGCAAAATATGTATTTTCAAATAAATACCTTTTTTATAGTGGCTATTTAATTTTCTACATTTACTTAAGTTTAATATATTTTTTAAGATAACCTTGCAGGCATTTGCTCATTTTTTAAATATTGGACTTTTTCTAGACTAATAGTGGTGTTTGCACTATATCACCAGCTGCTAAAATTAAGTACGATTCATATTTTTCTATTTGAAGTGATTGAGATATAGTTTTTCTATCTTTATGTTATAGTTTCTTCAATTCATTAATAAATAATTTTTCTGTATGCTTCTTTATTTACCTATGTCACCCGTTTTAATTGGAAAAAAGACACTAATGCCAAAATAGTTCGTTTAGCGTGAAAAATTAAAGCCTAAAATAGCGTTGCAAATAATTGCATTCATGTAAAATCAACATCAATCATTTTATATCAAAATATTTACAACCCCTTTTTGTGTCTGGTCTTTTACACAGTGTAATATGAGAAAGAAATGGAATCGATAGTTTCTTTAGCTTTGGGTTCATCTAATGAAGTGAAGTTTTTCGAATCGTTTTCTAAGAATTTTGGATTATACCTACATATTTATTAGCACACTACAATATCTTCTAATTTTCAGTTTTACACTGTTGGCGGATATCAATTCCATATTGTTTTGCGCGCTGTTTTATCGTAATTTATAGAATTTCGTAGTTCTTTGGTAAAGGTGCAATAAGGAGTGATTTGGCAGGTGCTAATATCAATTTGGAACTTCAAAAATTCCATGAACTATGATATTGAACCCGGAAAACAATATCGATCCAATATTTTAGATTATTAATTTCAAGAAGTTTAGAAGTTTTTGGACTCTCTTCAGTTAAAGAATTGGAGGACATTCATGGAATGTGTCTTTGTCCCCTTTTACGCTTCTAATACCTTCAACGGTCCATGTGAACAATTTTCATGAAATTTTACTGAATCAGTGATGCTAACAAAACTTTTAACGGCAAAAAAGTATTTTGCATTTTACAAATAGAAAATGCGTTTGGAAAAGTATTTTAAATGAAATACAAAATGCTTTTCTCAAAAAAGTATTTAAATGCAAGTAAAAAATAGGCATTTTTTATTTTGTTTTTGCATTTTAAACCTGAAAAACTAGATTTATCGAAATACGCAAAGGAATACAAGGAAATAC